CGCACTATCGGAACTATACAATGACTTCCGCTCCTGAGTAATGGACTATTGACTGCGGAACTAAGACATTGTATGGGAACGATTGGAGCGACGCTGTGGTGTGTATACAAACCACAGGCGCGAACCATGGACTGGATTGCTGTCGTTCCTGAACAGCTAGGTTCAGGATTGTTCAGCTGGGATATTACATGTAAGTGACTGAGGCATTGCAGCGACGCGTACTCGGACCGCGCGCGCCAGCGACCGGAACAACAGATGTCTCTCATGAGAGATAGACTCATGAGCTGCAGATATTTACCTAGGCAGGCTGTTGGCAGTAAGTCAGGAGAGAGAACGTAGACAATGACATGGGTCATATTAGAGTATATATGTAGTCTATGTTCTGTCTCATGAACAGTATCGGAAAAGTATCGGACACCTGCAAGCAATCACATTACCAAGTATCAAACCATCTGAACAAACGTCGTGACACATTCCAAGTAACAATGTTCCCATTTAACTCATAACCTTAACACACGTTTCTGCGGTTGTATTGGTGTATCTTATCTATTCTCCTGTTCCACAAAAGAAACTTATACTCATAATGAACAATGACTAATATATGACTAACATTGGAAAGGGGAGTCTGGACATTTATAACAACAGTGTCTTTCACTTATATGTGGTAATTAGTTTAAATTGCGCTCTGATACTAAGTGGGTTTAATCAAAAACTCTCCACTATAGTTTTCAGACTCTTCAATATCCCGACTCACTTCACTAGGTGATTTTAAATATAAGTCTAACAGCTTAAGCTTCTCTGTACAACTTCCATTACAACACCGGCGAGGATCTCTGTGTAGAAGCCCAATTTGTTCCAACCACCTGAACTTCCTCTGAATAAGTATAATTTAACAAATTTGAATCAAAACGTAAATCAAAGTTCGAATTTCCTATATGCTCCGGAACCCATGTTCTCCTGTTATAATCTACCAAGAGATCCCAGATATGTGCAGATTTGTGCATGCCAATTTTTCATGCAAGTCCAAGGACATGGACTTGAGGGCAATCCATAACTGGGGTATCATAGATTTGTTATGGAATGGTATGGAATTTACTGGATAGTGTAGGAACTGTGATATGCATATCTAGGACATGTATATTATGAGGTGTTTCTCCTAGGATTAGGAGTAAGAACAAGTCATCTGAATACAAGCATTCCTCAGTTAACACAGGTCTTTTCTACATCTACGTTGATGTTCTACGAACACATATAGCATCCTTCCGAGGTAGAGATTCAACCTGTATGTGCTCATAATCTTAATATCTACGCCTGTTTCATTTCCTGTCACATCTTCCAAATGAAATTTTCTGACCTTCACTGAGAGCTAGAGCTGAGCTTATTGGTATTACTTGTTGTCAGCCGGTGTCAGGGTCGTTGGCTTAGTTCGGAGAACACGGGTCGGAACGGGACAGAGTCGGGGTATAAGGTAAAGCTTATGATAATCGGATCAATCTAAAGTCTAGAATAATTACAAGATAGAAAGCTACAGAATAAATCCAGTCCTAGACCTTCGTTAAGTACTCAGGAGCGGCTACTACAATCAGGGGTATGATAGTCTACAGCTATAACACAGCAACTGATTGCTTATGTTGATTAGTAACTATTGCTATCATAACATTGTAACCATCACAACGCATTGACTATGTTACTAGGGAAGTTCCTGACTTGGCTGACCAGACTAAAAGCAGCATCTCAGCATTAGCCTATGGCACAATGGTAGTAACAAGCAGGCCTTTTTCCTCGTGGGAAAGCCGGTCTGTGACAGCCGGGATCCTGCCCTGTTTTTCTGGGGCCTCTGTATACTTGGCCAGGGGACGCTGTAGCTTTATGCTTATTCTTCGGATTCCAGATCTCCAACCCTCAATCCATCTGCCACTGAGACATCCTTCACTTAGGCAAAAGTTGCCTCTTCGACTCTTTTGGCAGCAGCTGTAACGGCTACAAAGCCGGTTTTTCCTGTAGCTAGTACTGGCAAGTACTGGCGTACAGCCACTAGAGAACGGGCAGGCGCAAAAGCCACGTAAAAGATACTAGAATCTCCTAAGAAGGGACTAGAAAAGTCTCCATGTGAGTAAGACTGATACTGAACCTTGGAGAAGCTGCCAGAAATGATACCCTTAGAGTAGCAACTGGAATCATCTAGAAATGAGCTGACCATGGAGGGAAGAACTTAGAATGTAATAAATCTGTATATATACCTGGATTAGTATGTAGAACTTAGGTCTTCATAGTTGAATTATAAAATACTATCATCCATATAAATGCTCGTTGCTTTCTATAGTTGATCTGTGACAGCAGCCCTGGCTTATGCTGACACTACTAACCTCCATTTCTCGGCTTCGAGAATTTTCGGAAATGGAGGAACAAAGTGTTGTGGACATACGGGCCCTCGCTTTCGTCTAGATTCCTCGCACAATCTTGTGTGTAGTTAAGAAGTTTTAATGTGTCAGATTGGAGCGTGGGCGCTTGAGATGAAGCGGAGTTGGAGGGCGGGAAGAGGTTGTATGGACTGCGAGGGATGGCTAAAGGTCTACTGGAGATAATTTGGAGGAACTAAAGGTTTAAAAGATGGGTAATATAATTATCTAAAGAGTCTAGGTTCGAGTGGGTAATAATGGTAACTTAAGATACTAAAGGTGACTAAAGTTAATCGGAAGGTGTTGGTTGTGACAGAAAACTAAGCGTGAAGAAACTCTGTGTCTACAGGCAAGCCATCATACACATACCTGCCCTCCTTCTACCAGCTTATCATAAAATAGGCCATAAACTTGTATCAACATAATAACAAGTGCCAATAACTGTAATGTTGTCACAGCAACATCAAGAGAAGGGTAAAATTATAAACAAAAGTTGGGACGGGAAGGAGAATCCTTACAGAATGAGTAATATGGTAGTACTTTAGGCTACCTAATGGATACATTAACGGCTTTTTGGCATGGGAACAAGGAGTTTATTAAGGTTCTATGTGCCTAGATGGGGCTACATTTGTTTATGGTGTGACTTAGGCTCTGCGTCACTTACACTAGTACTTATAGCACAAACCTCCCACTCTTATGGTAGTAATCCGAACATGACTCTCTTTTAATCAAATTCTTCTTTCGCTGCATAAATATTGCGCCAATTTCATTGCGCTATATTTCTAACAGCTTCATCAGCAACTATCTACGTCATTGTGGTGATTGGGCCTGGAGTAGTTCGAATTATCAGCAGAATGGTGGTAATTTTCATGGCAATCATATTTAATGCTAGATTCCATCCGTAAGACGGAGATATCCAGGGGCTCTTTCCGAGCAAGTTCGTTCTTTGCTATAAGTGCAAAGGCAATTATAGCCCGGTGGACCAGCGTGATATATTTGGCTGGGGTGCCGAGCGCCTACGACGCGATTTTTTTTGAATCATTTAATGTGTATGCAGCTATAGAGCTATGACACAAGACCGGTGCTATGTATACATGATGGATGACTCTTTTGACGTTAGAGACATTCATACTCTGGATTTCATTCACAAATACCGCTATGAGGTATTTTCGCTTTCACAAACAGCCAACCCTCCGCCGTAAGTACTCACCAAGGGGAATTTCCAAACCTTAGATTATCCAAGCATGCCTTCGTCATCCATGTATACCAGCACCGCGAAAAATGTGGTTGTGTTTTGCCGGATTTGAACCAGCGATCTACTGTCTCAAGTGGGATTTGTGTCCAAGCTATCCAGACTCTACTTGGAAGACCGGCCAAGACGGTATACCACCGCACCATACAGCCATGGCGATGTCTACAGTGTCGCCTGCACTCTTGCAACCAAAACCTTGGCACGCACCAAGTTCAACTTGTAAAGACTCCTTGCCAATATTCGAAACTTCGCGCCCGTCGAGACGCCATCCATCCTCGGCATCATCTTTTCCCGATTCCTCTCACGTACATCCCGAAGAAGTGTCTTCCAATTTTGTACGCCACGCTTTGCTTCCTCTGTCTGGAGTAAAGATTGAAGTGGGCGTGTATTTGGCGACCAGTTGAGGCCAAAGAAAGTCGACAAGAGATATCATCATTGGAATGAGGATACACTAGGTCGTACTTGTAGACTTAATGAGGCTAATGTATGAGTCGATCACTTTGGGGGTGAAAAATTGACGTGTTGGAGTGTTATGAATTATTGTCTCGTGGGCCAACTTGTTTGGCATCGCTAATTTGACTGAACTTAACTATAAGAGAATATTTCACCTCCAGGCTCGTAGAGAACACCGCGTACAGGTGTTCGGTATTGCCCTCCGGAATAGAATAGAATAGAATAGAATAGAATTTTATTTATGTCCCTACTGAGTCTATGACTATGAAGGACAGCTAAAACTATCTAAATAGCTTTAAAGTTAACAGTAAATTTGTATGTGGCTGTGTTCAATTTTTGCCAATAGATGATGAGGGTCGTGCCCTATTCCCTCCGGAATAGAAAACCTGCATGTCCTACACAGTCATAGACTCAGACATGACAATAAATTGTTTTAATAATAAAAATAACCGCTACAAATTTGGAGGGAATGACTTAAGTCATAGAGGCTTAGCTCCTCGTTCATTTCTTAGTTACTCCCAAAATTGACACTCGATTTTCCTCGGCAAATGGCTCACGATTGAGTCAGTCTCATGATTCGCTACTCAAGATTGCATATTCTATTCATTTGGACAAATTTTATTTCTCCACAAGGATCTTTAAAATTTATCAAGTCACAATGTAATTTCGTAACGTATATACTCAGTTACAATCTTCCATAAATATTGTTAACTTTTCCGTGCATCTCTGCTTGGCCTTTAGAACTCTGGTTCAAAGTCAATATTCTCAACCCTTAAACTTGGGCTCGCATGCTCAAACACCGACGCAAAATTTCATCTTTTCTTCGGGAATATTTCTGCTATTAGCACTACATAAGTCTTACAAGTGTGCGAGATATCTAGCGGCAGGCTGTCAATATGGTCTACATCTTTGCCTTGCTCTTGATACCACGCCCCTTATCTAACATTCCTGGTCGCATTGTCTTCAGCAACAGACATCCGATAGGTAATGTCGAGATTGCAATTCACAATGATGTCTACAAACTTTCCAATTCCGAATTCCCAAAACCTGAAGACAACTCTGGTATTTTTATGGCTATGGATGACTCACGAACTCCAGGAACTCATCACGCAGTCTATAGTGCTATGAATATGCCATACGCTGATATGATGGCCAGAATTATGGGCGGAGCATCACCCTTGACAGATGAACAAGTCATTAATCTTGAAAAAGATGCAATTGCAGTTCAAGAATGCCACCGATATCTTCAGAATAAAGCCCAGGAAGTTGATACAGTTATGCCACTAAGTTTTTTGAATGTGATGAAGTCAAAAAAATGTACTGCAAGATCAATTGCAACGCTAGCCTTTGAAGAAAAGGTAAAAGTAGAAGGAAAATATAGCTACTTTGTACCATATTTGTCTCCTTCATCTTTGGCTATAAATGTCGATTACCATGTACCAGTAGAAGATCTAGTATTACCAGATCAATCAACAATTTACAAAGGGTCTCGTACGCCACGAGCATTTGTGTGGTATCAAGGCAGACCTCATCTACTCATTGGATGTGGTGGAAATAAGCGTGCTTGGTTCATAGCGACTACACTCAAGGGAAGAGACGTATTAAAACCATTAGATGTAGCTATAATGCTAGTTAATGACAGTTACGGTAAGGTAGAAAGTCTTGTGAAAAAAAGCATGCTAGGCGTTGAGCTAGACCTGAAGAGAAGTCGGAAAATCAACCCAGAAGTAGATCCTTCCACCTTCGGAAGATTCTCCATAGTAAGATTATCGAATCCAGGAGAAAAATTGCCTGGCATTCTTACCCACTGGAATGAATGCAGTTTGTACAAGAGTTCATCACCCAAACTTTTCAACTGGGGTGCACGATTTTAACTTTTGTCGGTGTAGCTATTGAATTTCTAGCTTTTTAGTGGCATCCATGGAAAGGATACGACGCGGGTAGGTAGAAAACAATATCTTGAATTCATTTGTTTTATCCCCAGCTTGGCCCGTGTTAGTTGACTTCCACACGGGTGAGGTAAACTCAGCATGGTGATAATAATTAAAATTATGTTGTGTTAGACTAAGCTTACATGTTTTAAAAGTATAATCCACTACTTAGTTCGTGGACTTGTCGGCAGAGTGAAGCTTATGCAATCGTAAAGGACAAAAGGATGTCAAGTCGACTACTCTTCTAAACACAGGTACCAGACTCCTTTTAACCCCAATAGATAGCCCGTGCGGGATCTCCTATTAACTGCAGTAAACGACGCTAGCACAGGGTATACGCAATCTTCGTTCGCCAAACACCAGTAGGTTGGGCCTACTAATTATCGAGCCTAGTAGGATCGTAAATTTGTAGTGATTGATGGCCGGTAGTCAACGAGGTGAGCTCCTAATTGAAATTGGGGTGACGCCTTTATCGGTCGTCTGGCGATATGATATGTGTTTAAATCGAGGTTGAGAACTCAGAAGGTAATGGTGAGTGCTGCATGATTGAGAAGTCGTCAAATGGAGATATAGATATGTTTGCTTTCCACTTAGATTCGGATACGATTCTTGTTGGCTATCCCAGATATACAGAGCATACTGAGCAAATACACCGGCACCACTGGAAGGTGAAGAATTCGTCTTTGCTGGCTGTAGAGTTCGATTATTCGGGTGTAATTTATTCGCTATTGTCTCCAGCCTTAACAGGAGACTTCCAATTGTACTTGCAAATGAAATCTGAGGCATGAGTGCACTTCTCTTACGTTGAATCATCTATTCTGTACTATTCTTTGATATTGTGTCATAGCTAGATAGCTGCATACGCAATTGAAATCTGATGCAAAAACAAAGAAGGAAACTTCCAAGGTTATGAGAACGCTAATACATGATTACATAATGTGATTTCCAATTATCTTATTTTTTTTAGTATCGTGAGCCGATGCATATTAAAGTATTATCTGTAAGCAGACTTATGCTTGCATAAGTCTGGATCCAATCCAAAAGCGAAAGCACAATTTGCGTGCAGGCATGTCAGACTAGTGATGATGCTCGGGGCCCTTATTGTTATGAATGCAAGGTTATGGGAGGTGGAATAGTTACCGGTAAATAACTGCACGTTCACTGAGACTTGAAGGTAGAGGTAGATTGTAATAATTTGTAGACTTGCTTGCTTTCGTTCAAACTTAGAGAATCACTACTTTTATATACATATACCACGTTCTGTGGCTTTCCATATCCCTAGTCGCTCAGTTCCATTCAGCTCTGAGTCATCACATTCTATTCCATCCTGTTCTATTCTATCTGACTCTGGTCTGTTCTGTTTTAACCATTAGATTCTACATCTCTGTGATCCACAATAACAAGATGCAGGGGTGGTTATGTCATCAATCACAACACTTATTAGGGGTAGGAGTAAATATTACAGTGCTACGATGGGTTAATTTTTGCATCAGAGTTTAATTGCGTGTACAGCTATCTAGCTATGACACAACATCAAAGGGAGGACGAAGGCTGAACACCTGTCTGTGGTGCCCTCTACGAACCTGGGAGTGAAATATTCTTCCAGAGCTGAAATTTAGTCACGAAAAAGAGTGGGATGAATTTTTTTTGATGGATTTTCGACTTGAAGGAGTTGCACTCGATATTTTGGTCGAAAAATCAGTCGGCAGAGATTTCACAGCCGGAACAAAGTTGAACAAATACTCATCACCACCAACATACTGTTTACGAATGGATTTCGGTCTGTCTGGGGGTCGTACTCAAACATCCGGCATCTCTCAAACTCCTTTTCTATTTGCGACGGAGCATTTCTCAGTCGATCCTACACCTGCGACCCACTTCCATGCTCGTCCGATCAACTACCTACACACGCCCTAATGAGGAAAGTCAAGATGGAAACGGGACGTGTGCCAAGAAGGAAGAAAAGGGAAGATACACCGAGGGGATCACACAGATCCCCAATGACGACAAAAACCCGACGGTACGATATGAAGGTTCAAGGCTAGACCAACAATGAAATCTTGGACGACAATGATATGTCGGAGTCAATGAGGATATTAAAGGCTCGGGCACGTGGTGACCGAGGCTGAGGAGGAATTTGCGCTTCGGCGCGTCAAAAAGAGGGTTCTCTGGATGGTTAGGCTTGACATGATTCAACACATAGGTGAAGTCTGAGGTGGTCCAGTCATTTAAGTGGGACGAGGCACTTGTACTTTACAGTAGCTAACCCGATCCGGCCCGGCCCCACTCGTGCTTAAGCTCTAGTAGGAGTGCAACGGGAATCACTATACCTAGCACGTAGATGAACAAAACAAAACAAACAAATACAATATCAAAGAAAGGTACAGAAAAGATGATTCAACTTACAAGAAGAGCACTCATGCCCCGGATTTCATTTGCAAGTACCACTGCTAAGTTATGGTGGCTTTTTCTTCACCCCAAGTCAACCCTCAACCGTAAATACCCACTCAGGGAAACGTCTCAAAAACCCTGGGCTATCCAGACATACCTCCACTATCCATTAACTTTTCTCCGCGCGAAATGTGGTCTTTGGTGTCTCCCTTCCAGGTGAATCAGGTGCCCAAGCTACTCAAACCATACCAGAGAACGCCATCAGGAGGGGCGTCACGGCACCTTCCATCGTTGACTTATGTTTATAGTGTCAGCTTCACTCTCGCAAGCAAAGTCTTGGCGCGTACAAAGTTTAATTCGTGAAAGTCCTTCCCAAATTCAAAATTATACAACCGTCGAGATTGCATCCACCCGCTGGTTCATCTTGCAAACTTTTCCTAGTCTCTCTCATTTTTATCCGAAAGAACTGTCTCCCAGATTTGTGCGCCACGCTTTGCCTCCTCCGTCGGATATAAATATGGGCGAGGGCGTGAATTTGGTGGCCAGCTTGGGCCAGAGAATAGTCGACGAGAAGTGTGATTATTGTAACGAGGATGTGCTAGGACGTACTTGTAGACTTGATAAGGTGTCGATAGAGATCGATCTCGTTGGGCGGGAGAGTTTGATTTCGTAGAGAGTCTTCTATCATTACGTCGTGGGCCAACTTCTTCGATATTGTAAGAGCTTGTCCCTCACTGTCTGTGAGAGCAAAGTTTAGAGTTAAACAATCGGAGCTTCAAAAATGTAGCTAGTGTTGACAGGACTTAAGCACTATTTCTGGGGAATTGAAATTGAGTGTACTGAATTGTATATAATACTACTTTTATCTAGGATGTTTCGAACCTCTGTTTATTAGATGAGACGCAGAGGTCTCTCTCGACTAGTGATCTAGTATTGTCTGTCGAGCCTAACGGCCTGAGGTCGCAACATCCAACCTGAGTGGGACGAACAGCTAGTATCGTTTTTAAAGATTCCAGGAGTCATCTACAGTCATTGACTTAATTAGGACAACAACACAAACCTAATCTAATCTAATCATCGGTACCGCGAATTGTGACTGAACTTGGGTCTGCGAGAATTATTCACTCCCAGGTTCGTAAAAGGCACCGCGTACAGGTGTTTAGTCTTGCCCTCCCTAATGATAGTTCGTATCTGAGCGCAAAGCTGAGTCTTAACCATGTGGACTTATACCCCCCCGTAGAGACGAACTGTCTAATCTCAGCACCGACTTGCTGGTTATGGCTCTGCCAAAAGACGATGAACAAGGGGCTGCGAGAAGATCTCCGTGACGCCACGTCCTTTTCCATCGCCTACGCCTTAATCTGTGACTCCTCGTCTTGATTGGCCCTTTGTTGTGGATTACTCAAGCTGGTTATTTAGAGCGCAGGTACGCCCATTCGTCGTTGTATATTTCTCCTATCCCACAGACCTCGCTCCTGGCTCTAAAAGCGCTATCGCCACACAAGCTGTTCCCGGACTCGCGGCGCTAGTTGGAGGCCCGGCTACAAATGGTATAGCTGCCGCGTAGGGGATTACCTGAGCTGCAGGCCTTATCGATCTATCTATCTAGCTATTTTGTACTATAGAGTCCAGGGTGCACTGAAGGGCCAGCCACTCCGCGCCCACGACAAGCATTTAGATCTCATTCTCTTCAACTATCATTTAACAACCCAATTCGATAGAAGCTGACGCAGATTTCTTCGTTAAATCTACTATCGAGTAGGCTGCCTCAAATCAAGTCCTTCCAACATGTATAAAAGCTGCGCTATTTTTATCGTAGCTTGCATCGCTCATCTAATCGCCGGCGCGCATTACTCTGGAAGAAGTCTCCGGCACGCCAGACCAACTGATCATTTACGCCAGAAACAAATCCTCTCCATTCCATCGCCCGCGAAGAAATTGCAGTACAATACTGAGGCTGCTTCAAGTCAGTAAACCTTCCTCGTCACATCGAGATTCATGCTTACTATGATAAAGAGTTCAGAGTAAATGGCACTTCTATTCCAGAGGTCAACTTTGATATCGGAGAAAGCTACGCTGGACTTCTACCTATTTCCAACACCAGCAACGATAGCGAACTATATTTTTGGTTCTTCCCATCTTCCAATGCTGATGCATCTGATGAGATTCTGATTTGGTTAAATGGTGGGGTAAGAAATACTCCAGTCATACTAACCTTCTGACTAATCATTTTTTATCAAGCCCGGCTGCTCCTCTCTTGAAGGCCTCTTACAGGAAAATGGCCCATTTATCTGGCAGTACGGAACTTACAAGCCTGTACCTAACCCATATACGTGGACAAAACTGACAAATGTTGTTTGGATTGATCAGCCTGTGGGCAGCGGTTTTTCCCGCGGCACCCCCACAGCCAAGAATGAGGAGGATGTAGCTGCACAGTTTTCTGGATTTTGGCAAAATTTTGTGGATACTTTTGACCTTCGTGGCCGCAAGATCTACATCACAGGAGAGTCGTACGCTGGCTATTATGTCCCTTATATTGCTGATGCCTTCCTTAATCGTAATGATACTGAAGTAAGTCGTTCAATATTCTAGGCTAAGCCACGAGTAGCTAATTCATATTTAGTTCTATAATGTTCAAGGAACTATGATATATGATCCCTCCGTGACTACCAGTGTTGTGGACAACCAAATCCCAGCAGTAGCATTTGTTGATTACTGGCACAATTTGATGCCGTTTAACGAAACATTCATGACCCAGCTTCACAATATGTCTGCATCTTGCGGCTACGATGACTTTCTCCAAAAGTATCTGACCTATCCCCCTCTCGCGCCACTGCCGCAGTTGCAAGACCTCCCTGGTACAGATCAAAATGGAGAAACCTTGAAAGAATGTGATGTTTTTAGTTCTATTTATTCCGAAATATTTCTGATTAACCCTTGCTGGGATGTCTATCAAGTCGCAACAACCTGTCCTGCGCTGTGGGATGTACTCGGTTACCCTGCATCATCTGCATACTTACCTGAAGGTGCCAGCATCTATTTTAACCGCACAGATGTACAGAAAGCCATTAATGCGCCACTCGGTCAATGGGAAGAGTGCTCGAGCAAAAATGTTTTTGTTGGGGGTGGCGATACCAGTCTTCCATCTGGAGTAAGCGTTCTTCCTGGAGTAATCGAGCGAAGTAAGCGGACTATAATTGCTCACGGCGTAAGATGAGTTTTCACCCTTTTCGAAGGAGACCTACTAATATACAACCAAGGATTTAGACATGGTTTTAATTGCCAACGGTACCCTACTGATGATCCAGAATATGACTTGGGGTGGAGCTCAGGGATTCACATCCCAGCCTCGTGATCCATTTTACGTCCCACATTATACTACCCAAAACCCTAAAGTTGCTTCCGCCTCGGGAATTATGGGAATTACTCACACAGAGCGCGGTCTGACTTGGATTGATCAAAGACTTTCAGGCCATATGGGTGCGTAGCTTGTTATCTTCCTATCAACGGTGTTAGAAAGGCTAACCCTAAAACACTAGTCCCTCAATATCAACCTTCCTCAGCTTACCGACATCTCGAGTTCCTCCTCGGCCGCATTGATTCTTTATCTATTCCTGCACAGGGATGATGGATCTAAAGCTTCTGATCTCTCTTGAAAATGAACAATGGCCTCTCTGGGCATGTCTGTCCAATGAAATAAATGGATATTTTCGAAGGATATGATTTGCCGTCTATCGATGTGCGAAATATGATTATGTTTTTGTGATACTTATATGACGTTCAAGCAGATTATCTGAGAGGACCAAAAATAGTAATGAAATTAGCAGGATAAAGTATAAATTTTGTCCCTCCATACGAAAATAGGTGGATACTCAAGAAAATAACCTCGTTAAGTTTCTCTTATGCATCAAAATTCGAATGAAGCATATCGTTTTTCCATGAATGGTCTCAGTCACTACTGCATGCTCACAGGGACAATTAAAGTGAACAGTTGACCTGGCTCTGTGATCTATTAACTTTTTCACTAGTATGAAAACCGAACGTTATCGACTTAGGATGTTCCTCTAAATTCAGCTCTCGTATTCTCATTTAATTAGAGTGCAGTCTAATAAGCCCACAGCGTAGTGAGAAATGAAGGGTAAGAGCAGTAATCTCTCCTCGTGAGGTTAAGGCATCAAAACCCGTGGTGAAAGCTCCGTATTAGTGGGTGATGGAACTTTTTCAGCTTCGATGCGCTGTACTAGTTTCGCTTTTCTTCGCCTAGCGACTACATCCCGGTCCCAAGTGCCTGTGAACAAGCTTTCACATTCTTCTTCATCTTCGCTGTCAAACTGTATTTCTGATTCTTGGTTGCTCACGCTACTTTGCTGATACTCTCCTCCCTCTTTCAGTATGCGTAAATATGAGGAAGTTCTAGTCTGATCACGTCCTTCGTCCTCTAAGCAGCCTCCGATACAGACACGTTCTCGTTCCAAGATAATCTTGCCTATCTTGTAGCGTTGGGCATCTTCGCGTGCGTCAAGATACTTCCAGCCGACCACCGTAGCACATATTAAGCAACTCACATCAGCGACTAAGTGCATACCAGTCAAGAGCTCGCGGCTGGTTGGGCGTCCGGTGCGGGTATTGACAAGCTCGGCTTTAGGTCGCGGTTTTGGGGGAAAAGACGGAACAAAAGGCGGCGGATGTGGAGGGGTTACAAGATATGCGCGACCAAGTCTGCCAGAGAAGTTTTTGCTGAGGATTTGCGTTGTAAATGCAAAGTCGGTGGAACAACTGAGACAGCGAAGTGTCGAGGGGTGAAGTTGTGTGAGCGTCGGGTTTGAAGGCTCAGAAATGCTCGGGGCTAAGGGAGTGTTAGGTACAATATTAACCGTTGAATTTGAAGGTGAGGTGTTTGGCGTCAAATCTGATGAGTGAAACGGAGAGGTACTACGTGAGGTGAGGGTGGTCGAGCTACTATTGGCAAGAGATGTGTGACACTGGCGAAAAGGAAATCGGATAGTAGGGAGTAAAAAGGTGACAAAGGGAGGCCGGGAGTCAGTTGCCATTCTCGCGCTCGTCTTTATCCTTTGGGCCGGTTAACTTTACGGCTCCTGACAACTGGTCATGTTAGAGTATACCCAATGATTAGGGATAAGGGCAGTCACACCAAAAATCTAGAAGTATCTTATGAAAGCAGCGACTTTCACGACACACGCATCTCATGACAGAGGCCGAGCGGGCAGCAGGAACAGAGCCAGGGGATGATTGGATGTTAACATTATAGAATATGACCGCTGAGCATTAGCGATGCAGAGTAAATTGTAGGCGGGTGCAGAACGAGCAGGAGGGGTATCATGGCCAGTCAAATAGGGCCGCGGCTGAATCAGTGGCAGGCACGGTGGGGCTCGATATGTATATGTAAGCCGGGCCTGCATTTTGGTGATGAAGGCGCCGACCGTGCATGCATAATCTGTCCGGAGTCAGGGCTCGCAACATAGAAACGGACAAGTCCAGCTTTCGGCCTCAGGCGGAAGGGAAATTGACGTCAAGTCAGGCGCAAGGTCTGCCTCGTTCAGCGACGCGGCGTGCTCTTGGCCTTCAGCGTTGGGGCCAGGCGGGAAGCAGTCTCCGACCGACCCGCTGCATCAGTGCACTCGAATACTGCTCGACGTACCCAGGATGAGCATATCTTTTACCTAGGGATCCTAGAGACAACGTATCCGTTTATCGGAGAGCTGGAGGTGAGAGTACTTGGCTTCATCATCCCGACGCCATTGTTAAGATTCACAGTGGCGTCGCCTCATGATATTTTCCAGGGTCACCTGTACCTTGACAGACGGGGCCCACTTAATACGTGTGGCGGATCGATCGGATAATTCGACTTGGCAGTTCGCAAAGATCTTCTCTTCGAGCAGGCCAAGAATGCTTGGATCTGAGGAATTAGATACACTCGACCCCCTCCTTTGTAGATCCCTTCACTAATACAACTCCTGATAATTTTTCAGGAATTATTTCACTAGAGAATTATCATACCATCCATCGACCTCCATCTCCAGTCAACTAAATGAGGGCCATCCGCGGGTCAAGGAGTTTAGAATACTTCCAATACCACTGATAACAGGACTCCCACTTTGATGCAAAAAAAAAAGACCCTTACTACCGGTATCAAGATTAAATCTCAAGACATACTTACCATTTTAAAGAGTTATGAGAGGTCAGTCAGCTGAATGCTGTACAATTGAGAGTCCACAAGAAAAGGAATATCTGCTCTCTAAACCTCTGCATCTATTTGGCGGAGGATATGTTGTAATGCCAGAAGAGTTTCGACAGATGACAAATGGTGTAAGTTAGCCTAGCCCAACGTCTCTGTACTGATTGGGATACTGGGAGATACCGTATAATTATTGGTCCAAGTATGTCCTTTTCAGGTAACAATTATGTTCCAAAGACTATTTTCTAATATCGCTCTTTTACGTTATTTGTGTGTCGGTTTATTATGCTACTTGTGTCTTTGACTATTTAGTACATTGTGCTTCTTTCTGACCCAGGCCACACCTTTTACAGTACTCCTTGCCTCTTATGCTGCATGGACATCATTGATATGTTGCCCGTGATAAGTAGCCATTAAGTTCAGTGTTTACCCATGAAATTTAGCCTCCTATTCCTCTAATCCTTCGACCCCCAAAAAATAAAAAAATTGGTAGCTGTGGAAACTGCGTGCGCGGGAAAAAGTCTCAAATAACCTGTAGCCCCAGCCAGGCGAGGCCTAGACAGCGGGACCACATGAGGTGCGCATATTCATCTATATCTCCTTCCTTTGTAACAGTCGAGGCCGACACTCAGGGGATGGATGATCGTTGTCATACACCATATAATGAAAAGATTTACTACAGATCTAGAAAGAGATTCAAGGTGGAGAGAACCTATATACAGCTTGCTTTACAGGGGAAACATGAGTCCAAGCGCTTTTGCTAATGATTTACACCTTGATCTTATTGCATGTTCGAGCTGCCAAATACAAACAATCGCCACTTGGAACAACTCAACTCCGCTTCGATGCTATTTTTTCGTTCCCTCACACCGACTTGATCCAATTCGCCATCTCCGTCTTGGGTGCTGGGTACGCTCCGGAAACTCATCGGATGGCTTTTCCTCCATGATCAAGGGTTTTTGATGAGAAGGATTCCGATCCTACCGTCTAATCTGATCGAGGTTAGCTTCATGATAGTGGTAATAGGGGAATGTGTTGAGAGATGAAGACGATACAGACGGTGAAAGCGATTGGGACTCCTCGTCGAAGCGAGGACTTTGTTACTCAATCTTGGCTCGGTAGACTCTACAAAGAGAGCTGGATGTTCGTAGGGGTTACCATTGACAGGTGTTGAGAATATTCCCCCTGTGCGCGAGTAAAGAAAAGGCTTACGATAGACTGTGAACCCAAAGCACGCTTGTAATCTTCAACCATAGAATGCCTACAGAGTTCATTAAGTCTGTCATAAGTTCGATGATTAAGACCTAATCTGAATTTCCGTAGGAATACAAATATGCTAATAGAATTACATTACATTAATAGAATAAACGCAAATCTCGGTCTTGGCATAATCCTTCTTCTCGTACTCTGTGACCTGGATTCCCAAGCCTTTCTAATTTGTGTTCATCATCTGTCGGCCATACGGATTAATCTCAACGCTCGGGATGCCTTGTCATCAGCGGAGAACGATGTACATAATTCGTCCCTCTTGTTTTAATTATTTCACTGTCTTTTCTCAACTTAAGACGGCATAGGATATCCAGATCTTCTCTACCTACAGGCCAATGATATCTATAGCAATAGATAATCTTCTTCTATGCTTCACGTAGAGTTACCCATCAACAGCACCACACCTCAAATTTCTTCATTCGATAATATGCTAGATGAGCCTTTTGCCCTTCATTATCTCCCCTGTCCGATGAACAAAACGATGGCCATTTGCGGGTGAATGGCGACCGGAAAAAATCGCTAAAAGCTCAGAGTGCATGGCCTTCCTATACGGAGATCAGGATCAAATCCAAAGACATAGACACCCTTCTGAAGCGGCGACGGAGTCGGCCAGCTGAGCGCTGCAGAGGTGTATGTACCTAAGAAAATTCACACTCTGCCTCTCTAGGCTTCTTTCAATCCTTTCGCAAGGGTATAAATTAAATATCAGAAAAGTCTTAATAGAGTGTGATTGCTGTATGGTAGCTTAGCCCAACTTCATCTGTGCCGTCCAGAGCACTGGGGAGGTTGGTAGGCTCATCGACATTTGAAGTTCTAGCTAATTAGCCGAAACCTGGGTCTTGGCGCCCACAAACGCAACAAAATCGGAAACAGCTTAAATCCCAAATACATCATCAACATGAGTGCTTTACACAACGCGCTCATGAATCATCGCACTCCACCTACGACATTTTGCCACACATATCTCTCAATCACTCATGCCGCCCCAGTCCTCCGCAGAGGCTGGCCCTTGGCCCCCCCCACCCTTAAATTCGACACGTCCTGACGTCGAATTTGTCCTTAACGGGCCACAACCGCCATCACAACCACCCACCCAACAATTTGTAGAGCCAATCTACGAGGCGAGTCATCGAAGCGCGCCCCGCCAACAAACTCCGTCGCCT